CCTAAAAATATGCTTTATCTATAATATAAAGCTGAACAAACCTGTCCTGCTTCTGCTTAATTGGCAGATATAACAGGTTCCCTTTGCCTTGCTGCATATTTATATTTAATTCCTGGTAACTTAGTTTATTTTCATTCATGCAATGTTTCAGGTTCCTGAGATATTTGAGATGAGGCAACAAGTCCAGCCAAGCATTATTAAAAAGAAAATATTGTATTATATAGTAAGAGGTATGAATACAATCTAATCATTTTAAAATCTTCTTACTTTAAGGTACTTGTTATGTAGATATTAATGGGAGCCTGTCCAAATATCAGAATATGTTTAATTCTCTAAATGAGAAAGGAGAAAGCTCTCTGAAATGAAAATATTTTTACATTTCCAATTCAAGAAAACAAAAGGAGGAAACTTTTGTAGGATCTCTGTATCATTGAATTATTTCTAAGTCCCTTTGGTCATAATTACCTGGGGTTGCTTGGTTTTATGGACTACAGTTTTATTTATAACCCTTATGCTGTATGCTTTCAATCACTTTAATATTAAATTGCTTGTGAACTTGGATTTCTTCCAAACGATTTTGCTACCATGTAATGTGTGCATTATTGTGCTGGAATATAACTTGATTGGGAGTGATATTGAAACAAATTCTGGGTTACCAACATTTTTCAATCTACAGTTTTCCAATCGGAGAAATCCTTCTGTTTCTATAAATTAGCAAAGTACAGTATATAGGGAACGTCGGAAAGTTACATTTATCCTACTAGCTTTAAGGTGATGATGACTTAATGAAATCCCGCTGAAATGTGGAGCCTGACGGTCAGAGTTGGTTATGAGTTATGGTTATGATGCAGAATCCATTATTGTGTATCTGTTACTATAGAGAACGAGAAGGTGGGGCAAGCGCCGAGGGCGTTATTACGCAAGCAAGCCGGCACTTCGGCTACCTAGAAAGTTGTCCTCCGCTGGAATTTTTGATGTAAGTCGGTGCTGTTACAGGTGCCTGAAGTTGCTAGAAACAGGGACGAGTCAGTTCGGCGAGGAAACTTTACGAAGGTAAGATGATGTTTGCGAGACGGTTTCAGACAGTTCGACATATGTTTTGCAGGTGGATTGAGAATTACTCATCTGATTTTCTTTCTGACACGTCTTTGCTAATGGAACGTACTTTTGTTGTATAGAAAAATACGTCATTTATCACAAGGAATCATCGTTGACAAGCACAACCACTGTTTTCACATAGAAAATGTCGTGTTATCATGAGGTCAGAACTGATGAGCAGCCAAACTCTTTCGTGTATTTAGCTGTGGCAACCAGCTATATTAAAAAAACAAGATTTAAAAGCCTAGAAAACTTAATATATATGGTAAAGTTAACTAATAATGTAATTCTACTTTAAATATTTAGTAACACTTTCCTGATTAAGTTGTAGAATCTAAATTTGGTTGAAAAAATATAAACGTCCTCATTTACAAAAATATTAAGGTTAACTTTATTACAATTAAGTAACACTAATCGCATGTAGTCTCCTGATAATGTGAGCACTGCATATCTTTAAATGGGTTTGATTAATATGCTCAACAAGTTTGTGCTACGTGAGAGACTTTTTGTTAAATAAAATAGGCTAGCTATGGCGATGCCATGGCAGCGCGTCTAAATTATTCCAGTGCTTTATCTTTCTCTTCAGTCGTGCCAGTCTCTGCACTGTTTAACAAAGTGCTGCACTGCACAAGCTCTTTTATAACTGTATTCTCGCGTGCAAAACGATGAATTGTTTCTATATTTAATGTTTTATATTGCTTTTGGTTTAAAAGTTCCAGAACTTGAACAACCGTTTAAACAGGTTACAGTGGTAGAAATAAATTGTGCCCTGAAGTTAGTAATTTGGTAGACTACAAATTACAAATTACATTATGTCATGTGTTTCCCTTTAAAGCTAAATCGTTGACAATTAACCTTACATAAGGAATAAAGCTTTAACATTAAAATACTTGTGAGTGTGTTACAGTATACAAATAGGAGGTCAGTAATGTAAGACTTCACTTTGTTGGAGTGCAATAATGCCTCAGAACTACTTTTTGTTGGATGTTTTAATATAGTGCCTTTTAAACTACAATGTTTACCTAAACCTCTGCTGAAATTGAATAGCCTCAATTTATGTGTGAAATCTAAATGCATTATAAAATGCATTAAAAATAATATACTGCTTTTTCTATTATTGTTTGTCGTGGTCAGTGTGCTTTATTATTCCAAATCCTACAAATATCACAAATGTCATATTCATGGTATTCTTCAGGATGTTTCCTCCTGTTGCTAATCATCTGTTCTATGCAATTACATTTTTGAATTAAATGTATCTGTGAATGCTTAAGACTTTTGGAATTTTTTTTTCTCGTGGCATTAAGATGTTTATGACATAAGACATAAGATGTTTGGACATATACTTATGAAGAAAAGTTTAGGATATTTGACATTGCTCTGAAATGCACTTTTTGGAGAAGATACTGTAATTTTACACAAAACGTAGGGTAAAATCTGTATATTCCTGCAGTTACATGAATTATTTCTGTACAAAGCCATTAAAATGTAGACCACCACATCCTAAATAACTTTTATATTTCCTATACAGGATTAGTTTTCACTATTACTCAGTACTTCTTTTATTACTTACAAAATACAACAAAATGATCTTCCTTTTATTTCCTGGTAGAACTCAAAAGTACAATACAATGTGTTTATGAAACTAGCTCTGTAAAACCATGGATCTTGTACACGGATCTTATATTTATTTTACTCACTTATTTCAGCAATAGAGCAACATATAAATTCTCAGATTTTTTATTTATTTTTTTCTAATATTCTAAAATATGTGTATTAAAACAATTCTTTAACATAAGTGTGTGTTGCTGAAAACAAAAATGCTGAAAAGCATGTTCAACATTGTAATGAAAGCAGATGCTATTAAAAAATATGAGAATTACCTCTACATTGCAATAGGATGTTTTAACAACATATAACATGTACTGTTTTTTACTGATTTATCTTTTCCATCCTGTCATAGTTTAGAGGCCTTTTCTTAGAAACGAAAGTACTTAAATTCAAAATAAAAATTGTAAACTAGTAGGCTGTATTGTAGGCTAACAGAAAACACAACAACAGATTACTTCACAAATAACAATAGGAAAGCTGAGGTGCATAAGATGTTGACTGTTCAAAGTAGCTTTTCCTTTGTTGTGAGAGAGATTAAATCATCTTAATGTTTAATGATGAGTAGGAATTGATTTTCTCCTCTTCAAAAATGTCGAACTTTTTGCACATTCCTTGTTTTATTGGTTATATAATCCTCTCAAATGCTTTCTACAAAGTATGGCTCTAGAGACATTAATTCTGTCCTAATTGGGGCACTCTGTAGTTTGAATTGTAAATCTCCAAACAAGCACTGTTTATGTAGTATGCCCTCTGTATATACACAGCACATAAATCCTACTGTATCCAAGTATGTTGGCAGTTTTATTTTTAAAAATGGAAGAGCCATATTGAATTTAACCAAATCTAATAAAATATGTTAATCCATATGTAGTAGTAGGACAAAACTGACATAATACCCTATATTTTCCAATATTTTTGTGTCTACTCTTTTACAAATAAATGCAAAATATTTAATGAGCTTACAAGTTACTATTAAAACAAAGGAGAGATTTTGCTTAGTATTCAGGGTTCATACATGGGTCTGTTTCTAGAATGTCATGGTTACTGTATGGACCTTTATGAGATTAGGCAGTTTTGTTCTATGACAAGAAAGGTGAAGAAGACCTTACTAGCTGCCACATTGATGTTCCCAGTGTCCTTTGAGAAACTGAAGCTGAGAAAACAGTTTAAATGTTGGCTTCAGTACTAAGCTTGAAACAGCAAGAAAGCACCAGCCAGGCATTTTCAACCCTACAGAGAAAATGGCCCTAGTCCAACACTCAGCTAGTTCTTTTCATTAATGGCGCCTAAATAAATAAGCCCAGCCCTGATAGACCTTTACCCAAGGCAGAGTGATCTCATTTAACAGTAAAATCTCAATTTGTAACGAGTGAAATGTATCATAGAAAATCGAATATGATGAAAGATATTAACTCTGTGTTGAAATAGTACATCCCCTTAAGATTTTATGGCACACTTAGACATATTAGACCTTCACCCAGTCCTGACCATATCCTAATAGTAACTGATCTCATTTGACAAATAGCACACAATATTTCTACTTTCTCATGATTTAGTAAAACATCAGCCAGCATTCCATATATTTGTGTGAAAAAATAAGCACACCCCTTGATTCAGTAACTTGTCAAATATGTCTAAATATATTAAGCCATTTAATCTTAAGGGTGTGTACTATCTTCACCACATTATAATCACATCAACCTGCTTTGAGGAAAAACACAAAAATGTTGCACCATCCTGATGCATACTGAATTATAATGTTAAATTGCATTTAAAATGCTAATGTAATAGAGAACATATTACAGTAAACTGTATATTATTTCCCAAAAGAGGAAATGTTAGAAAACAGAGAGTAAGCAATGAAAATGTTAAACTATTGACTGATAGCCTGCTCTGGGAGTGTTTGATGTACCATTTTGAGCTATAGCAGAGAGGGTGTACTAGTTTCCTATAAGCTTCTATATAGTACCCAAACATCCAAAGCCCTGGTAATAGTTTTCTCAGTGAACTCGTCAACACAAAGTATTCTATAATGTCAAAGTAAAAAAAACCTGTGTGCAGTTAAGGTGTTTCACATGATTTCAGAATAAATACACCTGTTAGTGCATTTCCAAGGAAACACTACATCATGAAGACTGAGGTACTTTCCAAGAACATCTGAGATAATGTTATTGAAAAATACCAGTCAGGGCAAGGATATACAAAAAATTCCAAGGCATTGAATATACCTCAAAGCACAGTGAAGTCCATCATTAAAAAGGTGAGAAATGTGGAACAACTGTGAATCTGCACAGAACTGCTGTCCACCAAGAGGCCTACTGTATGGCAATTCTAAAGGAGTTACAGTCCTCCATGACAGAGATGGGAGAAACTGTGCATGAGACAATGATAGTACGCACACTTCTGTATAAGCAAGATTTACAGTATGAAGAGTGGCAAGAAGAAAGCCTTTGTTGAAAAAAGCTCATATTGCATCTCGCCTGGAGTTTGCCCAAAGGCATGTGAGAGATTTAACAATTTGGAGGAAGATTCTGTGGTCTGATAAGACCAAATTGAACTTTGTTTGGTGCAAACCTAACACAGCACATCACACTGAGAACACCATCTCTACAGTGAAGCATGGTGGTGACAGCATCATGCTTTGGGGATGGGTCTCTGCAGCAGGGACTGGAAAACTCATAAAGATAGAAAGAAAATTGATGAAGGAAAATGTGTTGCAATCCCCAAGAGCACTGGGACTTGGAATACAATGACCTGAAACATACAGCAAAAGCAACACTGGAGTGGCAGAAAACCAAAGCGGTTAATGTCCTGGAGTGACCAAGTCAAAGCCCAGACCTCAATCCAATTGAGCATGTGTAGAATGACTTAAAAATTGCTGCTCACAAACAGACCCCATCCAACCTGATGGAGCTTGAGCAATTTTGCCAAGAAGGATGGGCAACGCTGATAGAGACATTACCCAAACAGACTTACAGCTGTGATTGCGGACGGAGGTGGTCTTACTGAGTATTAACTCTGGGGGGTGAATACTTATGCATTCAAATATTTTCTGTTTTTTTATTTTTAATTTAGTCAAATGTCTGGATTTTTTTCTTTGACATTATAGACTACTTTGTGTTGAGTGGCAGCAATTCTGAGTTAAATACATTATGGTTCCATCCTGGTAACACAATAAAATGTGAAAAAGTCCAAGGGGGTGTAGACTTTCTATAGGCACTGTAAAGGAGGTTTTCCATTGGCCAGATATAAAAAGCTTCTAAATGACCAAAAAACACTGAATTAAGAATTTGAAATTTTCAAGCAAGTTGAAGTTTTGATTCAGTCCTGGCTTTCGACAAGTGCTTCTACCAAAAAGAATGACAAAGTCTTGATCTATGTGTGTTTAGTCATGTGTAGTTTATTTAGTACTCTTGCCACTGTCCCACAAAACCTTCCCATAGGGAAAATGCAGTAATACAGGATAATTGTCTTTCACTTTAGCCAAATTCCAGCTTTTTATCAGAAAGCCTTCACAGTTTTGGCATTCAGCTTTTGCCAGAAAGCACCCTACACATCCATCATCCTTCACTGCCCTGGGCTCATAGTACTGCTTAGATGACATAGAGTGCTTATCTCTGCTCAAGTTCCTTTTGTGCAGTAGGTTCTCTTTTTTTCTTTTTAATTTACTGTATATGCCTCAAACAACTTAAGAAACCACTAAAACAACCAGTTCAACCAGTTTGTTACACAATTCCAATCTGATAAGGAGGAAAATAAGCAGATATTTTGCATCTGATACAGTACAGTATATCAATTCTGTTGTTTGTTTTTCCTGTTGTTTATTTTTATTATAAACTGTTTTAAATAAATACATTTAACAGAATGGTTAATGTTCCTCTAACAAAAAAGTTTCCTTAAAACTTCCAGGGTGTTATGGCAGGCATTGAAAATAATTAAATACCATTATCTGTGTCTTTATTGCCCTTTTTGTGTTTTTGTGTCTTATTGTGTTTTTTATCTGGAGAGTAATGTGTCCAACAATGTTAAGTACTGTATGTGAGTTTGCCTTTCTAGAAAATGGAAATGATGCGGAGAGTAAATGTGTACTTCCTGGGTACACAGTGAATGACAATGCCTGGAATTTCTCTTCACTATCCATTTCATAAAACATTTTTTATTTGCACAATCCACCGAAGATTAAAAAAAAAACAAGAGTTGAAACTGAGACATGAGTAATGGTGTTTCATGTTCTTTAATTAGAAATAGTTTCTAGGGTGTCACTTACAGTACGTCATTGAGGCATCATGCAATATTTGTTCAAATACTGATATTCTGAACCGGCATGATGAGTGAGACATTTTGCATTAGGTGATCTGTTGGCCACTGGTTAGGCTGGTTTGATGGGCAGATTCCTTCCATTCCTCACTTTTCTGTTGTTCTCCTGAAAACACAGGGTGTGATCTTTTTTTAGGATTCACCTGCTTATGCTCACTGTTCACTTGTAAGTAATTCAATTTCTGATACTATAGAAAATACAATCTCCCTCCATTAGTATTATGCTGTTTGAGTACATACATAATTTGCTCATTCATTCTGATTAAAATTAATATTAAAAATTCAACATAACATCTTTTTTGCATTAGTTTAAAGTTAAAGCTTGAAGGAGAAGCCAAACTGAGTGAGTCCATATGCAAGGGTTTTAAATTGGAATATTTTTTATTCCTTCCACTTTAAAATAAAGCTGAAATACCTGGGACCTGAAGTATAAGGGTAATTATTTCTTAAGTTGTTCACTATTTTCAAAGTATTCAATATTTCCAATCATCTGGTCCATTGAATTTTTGGGGGGGGGGTAGGTAATTAAGGAAAAAGAGGGAAACATAACCAATTGAAAGCAACCTGTAGAAGATCCTCTTGCATTTATGGGCCAAAGGCTGTAGGAGGAACACTATACGATTTTGTTAACAGACCCTTATAAATCATTAATCCTGGACTACTGCTGATCAGAATTCTGCAACACTAATTCTGCAAATTGTTGTCATTTGAAGACTGCAGTGGTATCTGCAAAGATTTATCCCACATTCTTAACAGAAGTTGCAGTACAATTGCTGCAGTGGTACTGGTACAGTTTATTAAATAAAAAAATAGTCTAATATTGTAATAATCTAGGGGTTGTGAAAAATTAAATTGCACAGTTTAAAATGATAAAATAGAATTGTGTCCTGACACTAGATTGTCTTCCAAGCAAATTATAAAATTTAGCAATTACCCAACCTCTAATGTTTATGCAATACTGAGTGGTAAAAGTTATTGACATGTGTTTTCTTTGTTCTCTGATACAGCGTGGCAACAAAATAAAGAACCAGACAGCAAACCAGATCAAGTTATTTAAAATAATTTACAAATGCTGACACGCATGCTTTCTACACTACTGTGTAGAGATGTTTAAAGGACAGTGTATAGGGGCTCTGTCTTCTACAGAACTAGGCAAAACAGAACTCAATCCTGCAACTAAGGAACAAATATAAAAACTATTTACAAAATAAACAGGACTTCATGGGACTGAATCCAGTTCTGGAAACCATTTTCCTTATCCTTAATAATGTATCAACAACAACAACAACAACAACAACAACAACAACAACTTAATTTTGTTAGCCTGGTGGATTTCACAAATAGGAAATATTTAAATAAGTATAAGAAAACAGTCCCTTGTGTAAAACTAATAATCATAATGTTTAATGATGAGTAGGATTTGATTTTCTCCTCTTCAAAAAATGTAGAACTTTTGTTGGTGTCTTCAGAACTCAAGTCACCTAGCTAGAAGTGTTCTGTAATCCGGTCTGCATAAAGACTATCCCTCTTCTGTCTTCTCGCTATTTATTCTGTTTTTCACTTTGAAAATACCTCTGTATACCTGAATTTATCCTGCCTTAACACCCAGTTTTCCTCTGTACCATTCATATGTTGCCTAGAATAATGACCCACTAATAATGATTCAGTCATTATTATCATTCAGTCATTACAGCATTGTTCAGTCATGTTAAATATTAGTTAAAATGTTTGTCCAGCTGGATTTTTGGCCATTGCCTCAGGTGACAAAATAATCTAAGGGACAGCTGGGCAAAAACCCATTAAACCCATTACCTTATTAAATGGAGTACTGTGAGGTGATGTTTTTTTAATTTTGATGCCCTCTTCACTTGAAAAAAAAATATTTCCTAGTGTCTGTTATTGAAATAAGATATAAAAGTATTAGGCTGAACACACTTCACACATAACCGAAAAAAAACTAAACATTAATGAGGCGGATATCTTGTGTAATTTGAATTACCATACCACTATATGACAATTTAAGTAATATTTCATTTTTTCCAAATTTTCCTGCCTTCTGATTACCCTTCTTGTTTTTTCATTTCACAGGACACCCGGGCAGCCCTATTCCTCTCCTTTGCCATGACAAGTGCCACCCTAGAGCGCTTCAGCATCCTCTCTCTCAGTGCCCAGCAGCTGCGCCGGCTGCCCCAGCTGCTGGAGCGCTGCCTGCCAGCCATGCCTAGTACAGTGAAGGACCTTGATGTGCCCAGGCTGTTCCGCGAGCCATACATCCTCTCAGGATACCGTCCAGTGGGGCAGGAGTGGCGCTTCTACTTCCTCAGCCTATTCCAGCAGCACAACGAAGCCCTCAATGTCTGGACTCACTTGCTGGCAGCTCTGGCTGTGCTCCTGCGCTTCTGGGCCTTCTCTGAGACCAATGGCCTGTTACTGGATGTCTCCTCCCTCCCTCTCTACCTCTACATTCTCTCAGTGCTCACCTACTTGGTTTGCAGTGTTTTAGCTCATCTGCTGCAGTCCCACTCTGAGCTTGCACACTATTCTCTTTACTTCATGGACTATGTGGGTGTCAGTGTCTACCAATATGGTAGTGCCCTGGTACACTACTTTTACAGCTCTGAGCTGGCCTGGCAGGAAACCTTTGCTCCCCTCTTTCTTCCAGGGGCTGCTCTTCTGGGCTGGTTGTCCTGTGCCGGCTGCTGTTATGCCAAGTACCGCTACCAGCGCCCTTATCCAGTTAAGCGGAAGATCTGTCAGCTGATCCCCACAGGCTTGGCATACCTGCTTGACATCAGCCCCATTGCTCACCGGCTCCAAACCTGCTCCTGGAGTGAACCAGCTGTGTGCCTCCATGCCTTGCAGATGGTCTTCTTCCTCCTAGCTGCTTTCTTCTTTTCTTGCCCTGTGCCTGAACGTTTCTTCCCAGGTCGCTGTGACATTGTGGGCCATGCACACCAGATCTTTCACCTGTTCCTCTCACTCTGCACCCTCTCCCAACTGGAGGCCATCTTCACTGACTTTCTGGGACGACGAGATAATCTTCTGCTGAGGTACGATCGTGGAGAGATCCTGGTCGCCTCTGCCTCCTTCCCCTTTCTCATGTGCTGCAGTCTGCTAACTGCAGCGTACTTACGGCGAAATGTTGAGCTCCGGCTGAGGAAAAAGGAGAACTGAGACCAATTCAACTCACTCTGGCGATTTAATATAAGAAAATCAAGGAGCAATAGGCTTTTGGAATACGCACTTCATTTTAATTGTAACAACTCCATTGACCAGTTTTCATAGCCCATTTTTTAAATTAGAATTTAAATTTGTGTATTACCTTCCAGGATTAGCTGGTGATGACGTACAAGAATCTGGGGTCAGGTTTAACTATTCCATTCCCAAAAGAGAAATGCCTGGATCACTTCAAATGTGTGTTGTTTTTAAATATCATATTTTTCCATTGAACTAACTGCATACTTTAATGATGTTAAATATCTAAAAGCATAACATAAACTACTTTTTAAGCTTCAGATGGTGAGTGGTGAGTACTAAACATTGCACAGGTTTCTAAGTACTGTTAATGTGAGCTGGGAGAGCTACAGTATTTGCGTGGATTTTAGAAGATGATCTTCTTTTTTTCATACAGTTCTAGGCCTTATGAATAAAATTTTTGTATTATTTTACTGTGGGAAACAGACTGGTAAGAGTGTTATTTTCAATGTATCTTTTCATTGATAATACCAATGTGTTAGTGCAGTGTTTGTCAGGATGAAAAAGTGATTTTCATAATTCTGCAATACAGTTCTATTACAGTATTACAGTTCTGTATTTACTGCAATACAGTAAATGTTGCTTATAGGCTCCCAACATCAGTTTTCCAAAAACTGGTGGCTTCTGTATGGCTTTTGACAAAACTAAAATTAAACTATTACAGAGTATAACATAGGGTACATGGAGAGAAAGTTATATTGAGATACTGAAGACTATGAATAAAGTGTGATTATAGTATGGTTCCTATCCCTTCTACCCCTAAAGAGAGAAGAAGGTATTTGTATGTCAAGTAGATAAGAAAGAAAGAGCAGAGTAGTAGCACGGGACAGAAGTTTGTTGTATTATTCAAGAAAGTTAGGGGATGTGTACTCTTATCTTATCAAGTGTCAATTTTATGTTTCTTTTCTGTGAACTTTTTTTTTTCCCAAACACAACGAAATGCAGGTGAAAAAAAAAATCTATTTATGCCACTATTTTCAAGATGTTCGGTCTCTTGTTTTAAAGTGGACACCATTGAACACGTTGTACCACACTGAACAACTGACTCAGCAGTAATGGAAGCCAATATCTGCTGGAGGCCTCTATCTGTACTATGGTGTGGAAAACATTTTTTGGAAAGTGGGAATGTGATTTACTACTTGAAAAGACTATAAATAACTCATAACAAGGTTGCTCAATTCAGTTTTCAAGGATCAAAAGTTTTTTGCATGTGACTTTCATCTCATTTGAGCTGTTATTTTACCAAATTATTCACTTACCACACCCATTTAACCCTTTCCTCATGTCAAAAACAGATACTGATTTAAAAAGATTGATTAAAAGTTCTTTACTGTGGCCCTTGAGCACAAGGTGTGAAGAATACCAGCAGGCTGCAGACATGAGAACAACAAAAAAATCCCATCAGTTTCATTCCTGTTCTCAATAGGGACCCAGGGATCTATGTGTTTTGAATCTATGTGTATCTAGTGGCAATCTCAAGTCCTCGTAAATTACAGCCTCGTGACAATTGTTTCTGCTCGGTGAAAAAAAGGGTTTGACTCTCACAACACAAAATGTCTGACTTTTGCACAGCAGTGTACAACTTTTACACCACTATTTGTATCTAAACAATATAAATTTAATCTGATCTAAGGAAAATAATATAGTGTTCTTAGTTCTAATGTGTTGCCATTAGAGTAATACATTTCACAAGGTATAAATCCATCATGTATTGTTCAGACATGAGTGTAACAGATCATTTACATTTTAATTCCAGGAAATGTGTGCTGTATTTGTTCACTTTAAACTGGTCACTTTCAAATATTATTTGAAATGAAATCACTAATATTATTAAGCCTAGTTTTTCAGTGCAGTCCTTGAATTTATTAATGTGCCCTTTTCAGTTTATGTGGTATGTATTTCCTGGAGTAAAATTACTGACCTCTGATGTGGAATGAACTGAAATTATTAAAATTTGTATTTTATCCAGAAGGGACTAACTTCTTAAAAAATGACTACTAATGTAAAGATAATCTTATTGTATTTGAATATTGTTTTTAAATTAAACTTATCATTAATTTGTTTTATGGGTGTTTTTATAGTGTTGTCTAATTAATATCCTCTTTCCACTGGCCATTGTTAGAAAGCTGTAAAATGGCTTTGGTTCTTTTTCAGTGGTGTAAAAAATCACAGGCCTGAACCAACTCAAATATTCACCATATCCAGAAGAGGCTCAGAGGCAGCTTAGTGTCCTTCTCACTGCAGAGTCAATTAAATGTGTTTAGGATGCCTCACACAACACAAGGGTATCAAAATACAATAAATGGTTAATTAAGAGTATATGATATGGAGTATTTAGATTTCCAGAAGGCAAGGTTCCTCATAAAAGATTAATTCTCTAATTACAGGAAGTAGGCATATGGAAAATGTAGTTGAAAATAGAAACAGGCATAGTACAGGTATGGGGTAAAAATTCAAATTTGTAATCAGTGGACCACTGCTCTTCCTAATTAATCTCAATTATTCTAGATTCTGATACAGTTATTAAAAAAGTCTCTTTTGAAGATGATAATAAATTATGAGCATTAGCCATCACTATAGAAGCAGCAAATTAAATATATGAAAAAAATGGTCAACATCTGGTAGATGACATTTATACACATTTGACTCCTTTGGACTTCATCTACTCCAAACATTGTCATGCCCTCTGCAGCCAGAGGGCACTCCTTCTCTGTCCTGTCTCTTGTTTCTGGTGCTTTGCTGTCCTTCCTGTGTTTCTCTCTCTCTGGGGCTATATATTTCTGGGTCTTTCATTTGCCTTCGCTCAGCATTGTTCGGATGTCCCGAGACCCGCCTAGCACCAGGTCGCCCCACGTCCGCTACCTGAGGGCTTAGATTTCTATACAGCATTCCCTGAAGAATTGACAACTGGCTAACCCCCGTCTCCCTGCTACGCATAAGGTCATTCTACGGTTCGTCCTTTCCGACATCCAACATGACAAACATGTAGTGTGTTACAGAAGTATTAAGATGCTTGCACAGTTCTACATTTTGTTTCTTTAATGCTTGTAATCATGACACCCTGAATAAGCAAGTACTATTTGCTATATACCAACCTACTCTACACCTTCAATCACAAAAACAAAAAGAAGTAAATAGAAAATATGAAAGAAAAAAGACAAGATTAATTATTTCAGTGTTCGAACCCTTTTTCTGTGGCAAACCTACATTGTCACTTAATTTAGATGCACAAATAACAAGCACCCAATTCATTTTAGTCAATGTGTAATAATAGTGTCTCATATGAAAAATACGTTTCTGTAAAGGCCTTCAGTCAGGTAGGGAATGTCAAGCAAAAATGTAGCCAAGAAGACCAAGGAGTTTTAAAAATAACTCAGGGATAAGGTTGCATGACTGTGAAAACCAAAAACGAAGAAGTCTTCCTAAGCTTTTTTAAATGATAATTGAGTTTGATGCTGTCCAGTTGTAACCAAGGTTGAGCCTTATCACAGAAGGAACAAAGTTTTTGCTAAAATATCCTGGTAAATATTACAATCTGTTGCTCAGTTCAAACCAGGACATCAGGTGCAGAGAATCTAAACCATCCTCAAATCAGGGCACAATCATTTATATGACACACAGAAGGGCTTAGATTGTTTTTTAACATGAGCTGCAACTTGATGCACGACATACTCCTGGTGTCCCAAAGCTCCATTTGTGTTTCAGCCAGCTAGATCATGTGGTACCATTTGACTTCTGAGTCAATTAGCTGTGTAAAAAATGTGTCTTTTCTTTTAATGAAGCCATGGCATTCTGCCATAGACGCCAGATTTATGAAGTCAACCTCAAACAGCAGTGTTGGAAACATTGTATCCCTGTATAATGTCATAATTTCTTTTATTATTTCCCACTTGCTGGCCTTGGGTGTAAGTTAACCAATTTACTAACCACACATTTTAGTAAGCTTTCTATTTGGCATAGAAACTGTCCCACTGACCTTGAATGTCTTGATGATAGACCATATACTGTAGTTTAAGCTGGACTGTCTTATGGAATTTTACTGTATATGACCATCAATGAGATCAACAATCATTTTCCCCAGATTGTTGGATAATGCTTTGACTTTCCCTGTTATAATGTGGTACTGAACAGTTTTGCTCTGGTGGTTAGCCTTTTTTAATATCTTTCATTTCTTGTGATTTCATGGTGTTTCAAGACCAATTTGTTCAAGTTAATTGTTTTTCACTCTGCATCTTCAATCATGCCTTTAGTAAAAGGAGTAATACACAGAAAAGCTGATTGAAGTGATAACAGATTCACTGTATTTGTTTAAAAAAAGATTGTTGTCCAGCTGCTAAATATTAAGTTTCAATTTTATTTAGTTTTTAAGCATTCTTTTAAAAATACAGCCATCATATGAACAATAATATCATAAACAGTTGATAGTAACCTAGTTTAAGATATAAGTAATAGGTTTATTCCATGCTGAAAAAGGAAGAAATAAAGCATGGAATAAACTTATCACTTGTGCCTTTGCAGCCTACACATGCTGATGCTGCTACCCTCCTGAACTAGTTTAAGAAATGTTAATTGCTTAACCTTTTTTCACTACATACTGTATATCCCTATAGCCAATAAGAAAAGTGAATGACTTTACATGCAAAGAGAATAACCATAGAATATGGAACATTTTATTTGTAAATAAATTACAATGCAGTTTGATTACAATGCAGATATTCAGCTATAACTGGCAATCAGTACGTCCTGCCTAATGCAAACAATCTTAACAGTAACCGTATTAACAATAATTAATACTAAATAATACTAACAGTTCATACTAAAACAGTCTTAACAATTTTATTCTCTTGTGATGCAAGTTAAAGCCTTCTTCTGCAAAGTCTCTCAGAATGGAACACATAGAACTTTGTTTTAACTTTAATACCTTTCTTGTGAATCCAGAGCACTCCAAAAGGCTTGGCAGATTAATGTAATTATTTGGGGATTTAAAGGTGTCAAACATGAAAAAGCAAAGTAGAGACCCACACATGGCTTTAACCCACTTTTGAAGTTTCTCAACTGAAATATAAACTGTCTAGACACAAAATTAAAGACTAAGACTGAGAGGTCATGTTAAATTATGACAAGAATGTGATGGCAGCTATCAGGTAATTGGGAGATACTGCTCAAAAACGTCTGTTCCAGGGGATATTATAGTAAATGTATTTCAAAAATCACTTTCTAAATCGAACTTCTAAAATGTTCAGTGTTATAAAGAAAATCATTTTAGAAAAGGAATCAGTATTTTTATCCAAGCCATGGACTTCCTGAGAGCCAAGCACACATACAGTAGACAAACACAAAAAAAAACATTTTGCAAGTGTCTGTATTTACATGTTTTTAATATCAATGAGATATAAATAAAACGTTTTCTAAAATGGCATCATATTGCTGTCATTGTTTTTAATCACACTTACCACTTTGACCACTAGATGACACTGTTGTGTAGTTTGTTGCACTTGAAATTAAGTACTAATTACTAAAGACAATGAACAATGGCTGCTAGTCAATCAATGAATAAATTGATTTAATAAATACAAATTATACCAGTATTAATTTGTACTTGTTTTAATTTCACAATATACATTTATTAATATATTTAGAAATCAAGGAGAAAAGTCATAACGTTAGCCTGGAAATAACCCTTCATGTTTCTACCCGTTCATTTTGTTACTGTTGTTCTTGGTTTTATAGGTTTATACAGGTTCAGCTCTTCTTAGAATGAATGTTATATTTCGTATATAGTATATGCACAGTGGCATAGTGGTTAGTATTGCTACCTTAAAGTGCTGGGGCCCTGGGTCCATTTGCAGATCTGGGATAATATCTTTGTGGAATTTGTACAGTATGCTCTCCCTGTGTTTACCTGGGTTTTTGCCAAGTGTTCTGGTTTTCTCTCACAGTCCAATGGTCCGTTAATTGTGGGTCTCTGTGTGTCTGACCTGTGATGGCCAGTGTTCCATCTGGGATTTATCCTGCCTTGCACCCACCGGTTGCCAGTATAAGCTCTAGCTCCCCCATGACCCTAAATGGAGAGAAACAGTTAAAGGATGGGTGGGTGATGGAGAGAAAGTGTGCCAAGAGCCTATGTGGCATATGGCTACATGTTCAAATTAAAAATTAACCATTTTAAATGATAGAAAAAAGCAAATCGAAAACAACACACCTGCAAATAATTTAAATATAATTCAAACTAATTAGAATTCAAATTAATACAGCTTTGAAAATACCTCCACAATATGGGTATCAAATTTTACACTGTAATGGTAATTAAACAATTAGACCATCTAATTCCAGTAAGAAAAGCAGATAACCTGAATTATAAGTTGATTTAACCAAATGATTTGTAAATTTGTGTACGTATCCTTTTATCTTACCTATCATTTTATTACATATCAGATAAACTCCTGCCTTTTACTACGGTTCCTTTACAGTGACTTTCACAACATTGCCTCCTCTGGGTTAAGTACTCCCAACTCTTCTGCCACAGTTCACTGGAAAACTGAAAAAAGTGTTTTCAGTGCTGCCCAAAGCATGACATATGTTTTTTGCCAAAGCAAATCCTTCATCCATCTGTTAACTACGTAGCAAAACAGGCTAATTCACTGCCCTAAATTGACTTCTAGAGTACAAGTTTCATATCTGACTCAGTTCACAGCTAAATTGACTGTCTGCCTACAGACCTGCCAAGAACTGAAGAGAATAAGGGAGTGAGGTTAACTGGAGCCTTTGCTGTAGCTTCTGACGCATACAGGACAGAATATTCATGTCTTCCTAGAATAACAATGAAAAGGTCTTCACATCTCCAGCGAAAGGTCCAATATCTATAAGAATGAACAACATTGTAAATGAGAACTGGAAATTTAGGCCATTTTGCTTGTTTGGCTACTAGAAAATTAGTAAGCCTTTCAAACCCTATCAAGCCTTTAAAGCCTTTAAGAATCCCATGCTGTCAGTTGTATGAGCATTGCTAAGGAGTTTGTTCCAGATGTCCAGGAACCCATTTGTTAAAAATTACTAGACAGCCTTGACACATGTAAATACCGTAGATGTTTTGAAAAAACCCTGCATATTCTAGAGAGAGATACAGCACAAATACAAAATGTGAAGTGGTTTAACACATGTTGCATTTTACCTTATCTAAGGCAGCAACACTGCATTGTTTGGAGGGAAAGAGCATTCCTGGGTTGTGACATTTCTGCACAGTCATGTGATTAAATGAGATGTGGGATATCAGGTATGTTTTAGTTTCAGTGGCACAACCTGTCCTTCTTGCTTAATCCCCAACATGTGGTACTGAATTAGAATACACAAACATCACAGAAAACATTGCCAACTCTTATTGTTTCATGGCTAGAGGTAAAACAATTTAAAAAAAAACAATGATGCAAATAATATTTCAACTGCATCTCATGTGATCTTGCCCTGTGTCAGCCGCAGCCTATGGTAAATAATTATTTTATGCATGCCAAACCCTTCCATTACCACTTATCATTACAGTGCCTTGCGAAAGTATTCGGCCCCCTTGAACTTTTCAACCTTTTGCCACATTTCAGGCTTCAAACATAAAGATATAAATTTTTTATTTTATGTGAAGAATCACCAACAAGTGGGACACAATTGTGAAGTGGAACGAAATCTATTGGATTTTTGAAACTTTTTTAACTAATAAAAAAATGAAAAGTGGGGCGTGCAAAATTATTCGGCCCCCTTGCGTTAATACTTTGTAGAGCCACCTTTTGCTGCGATTACAGCTGCAAGTCGCTTGGGGTATGTCTCTATCAGTTTTGCACATCGAGAGACTGAAATTCTTGCCCATTCTTCCTTGCAAAACAGCTCGAGCTCAGTGAGGTTGGATGGAGAGCGTTTGTGAACAGCAGTTTTCAGCTCTTTCCACAGATTCTCGATTGGATTCAGGTCTGGACTTTGACTTGGCCATTCAAACACCTGGACACGTTTATTTGTGAACCATTCCTTTGTAGATTTTGCTGTATGTTTGGGATCATTGTCTTGTTGGAAGATAAATCTCCGTCCCAGTTTCAGGTCTTTTGCAGACTCCAACAGGTTTTCATCCAGAATGGTCCTGTATTTGGCTGCATCCATCTTCCCCTCAATTGTAACCATCTTCCCTGTCCCTGCTGAAGAAAAGCAGGCCCAAACCATGATGCTGCCACCACCATGTTTGACAGTGGGGATGGTGTGTTGAGGGTGATGAGCTGTGTTGCTTTTACACCAAACATATCGTTTTGCATTGTGGCCAAAAAGTTCGATTTTGGTTTCATCTGACCAGAGCACCTTCTTACACATGTTTGGGGTGTCTCCCAGGTGGCTTCTGGCAAACTTTAGACAAGACTTTTTATGGATATCTTTGAGAAATGGCTTTCTTCTTGCCACTCTTCCATAAAGGCCAGATTTGTGCAGTGTAAGACTGATTGTGTCCTATGGACAGACTCTCCCACCTCAGCTGTAGTTCTCTGCAGTTCATCCAGAGTGATCATGGGCCTCTTGGCTGCATCTCTGATCAGTCTTCTCCTTGTCTGAGCTGAAAGTTTAGAGGGACGGCCAGGTCTTGGTAGATTTGCAGTGGTCTGATACTCCTTCCATTTCAAGATGATCGCTTGCACAGTGCTCCTTGGGATGTTTGAAGCTTGGGAAATCTTTTTGTATCCAAATCCGGCTTTAAACTTCTCCACAACAGTATTACGGACCTGCCTGGTGTGTTCCTTGGTCTTCATGATGCTCTCTGCGCTTTCAACAGAACCTTGAGACTATCACAGAGCAGGTGCATTTATACAGAGACTTGATTACACACAGGTGGATTCTATTTATCACCATCAGTCATTTAGGACAACATTGGATCATTCAGAGATCCTCGCTGAACTTCTGGAGTGAGTTTGCTGCACTGAAAGTAAAGGGGCCGAATAATTTTGCACGCCCCACTTTTCATTTTTTTATTAGTTAAAAAAGTTTCAAAAATCCAATAGATTTCGTTCCACTTCACAATTGTGTCCCACTTGTTGGTGATTCTTCACATAAAATAAAAAAATTATATCTTTATGTTTGAAGCCTGAAATGTGGCAAAAGGTTGAAAAGTTCAAGGGGGCCGAATACTTTCGCAAGGCACTGTACATGTCAGAAAAAGATTGTTCAGTTAGGGTACACTAAAAAATCGAATTTGATTACAGTGATTAATTTTATTCTATTCCCCTAGTCCCACTATTAATTCCACACCAAAATAGAGTTTGTCGCTGGACCTACAGTATGGGATACAGTACGGAGGAATTTGAACATATGGTGACTGAAAAGATCTGAATTCAGAATCTACTTCTTACAAATACAATTTTAAACACCCCATGAAAAATGTTTTCAATTATATCCTCCTTTAAAATCTATTGGATCTCTATTCAGTGGAAGATCCCATTGTAGAATAAGTCAGTGACTTTCCTACATGAACTGCACTGCAACAAATATAACATCTAAATTGTGATGCTGGCTTTATTTTGAACATATAAGCAAAAGTAAATAAAAAATCAAACAACATATTCTACAAAACAGAGATGACTACACAGGGCACCTTTTGAGACAATGTATGGGGGCCTTTAATCTGCTGATATTCTCATTGCTACTGCAGTCCTTTCTGCAGGCAACAGCAATTTAAAGTGAATTTAAAACAAATCTTTTTTAATCAAAACTTTTCATGCCCAAATTGAATATTTCTATATTGATTGCATATGTATTCACCCTCTTTGTAATTGAGGGTTACACAAATTAATTTGGCAAGTGACACGATTAGGTGAATGGACTCTATATCTCTGTGCAATAGTTGTGGTTCACTTGATTACAGGATACAAACACACATCTCTTTAAGGTATTTAAGTTCAGTGAATTTCAACTAAAGATTCAACCATGAAGACCAAGGAGCTTCCAAAATATTTCAGTTATAGAGAATATTTAAAGTTATAGAGACACAGAGACAGGATAAAGGGTAAAGATTTTTTTCTTTGGCTCTCAAAGACTGAATATCCCTTTGAGAGCAGTGAACAGCTGAATAGCTGGACAAGCAGAAAACTGCTTAGGGATTCCACATTGAGGCCAATGGCAACTCTTAAAGGGCTACAGAGCTCAATAACTGAGATGGAAGAAAATGTCCGTGGGCCAAAGATAGAGTGGCAAGACAAAAGCTCTGTGGGAAAAAGGTTTTGTGATCACCCAAAAGTTAAAACGTGTTGGTCTAAATGTAAGGACAAAGTCATATAACAAGATATACTGTACAGTGTGTATTCTTGAGTGGCCCAGTCCACGTTTGAATCCAATAAAAAATCTGTGGCAAGACTTGAGAATTGCCATCCATCAACAATTCCAAACCAACCTGACAAAGCCTGAACAAATTAGCAGCTGTAATTGTTGTCAAAGGTGCTTCTACCAACTATTGGCTCAAAGAGACAGATATGTTTGGAATCAACACACCAGTAGTTCAGTTCTTGATATGTTCTATACAAAATCTTTCTTTTCAACTGTTGTTGAAAAGTTTTGAGCATCCACATTTTGCATACAGTACATACTGTACATCTTTTGCAATGCAATAAAATGGGAAATCACTAGAGGGAGGTTAATATTTTTTGTAAAGGCACTGTACATGAATAAGAAAGAGATATTAAGTTTCTTCACTTCATTTATGTCAACCTGCATTCCACAGTCAGGTAGGTATAAATAAAAGTGACAGAGTATGAGAATGAGGAAGTACAGTACCAGGCCCCTGAACAAAGTGTTTTCACAACTGTAACTGCATGTTCAAAGGTTGCTGATCGACAACTAGGACTGATCAGGCAAGCAGTGGAGCAGGAAGCTACAGTGGAGTGAGGTGGCTCTTGAGAGAGTGACTACAGTGACATGCTGAGACCCAACAGTGTCTTCGGCCTTGAACTCAAAGGAAATCTTTATATGAAACCTGTGGGATTTGTATGGGAGCCTGAGGCAGTCTTTTAGAACTTCACAACTTCACAAAGGTGCTTGAACCTACAGTTCCTCTGTAAGTGCTACACACTGTTTCCTGTTCTATCGCTGTGTTGTTATGCCTTACTATTTAGGGAGAGACATATTTTAAATCAGAAACCTTATCAATTGAGTTAAATATCAAGTCTTACGTGTCAGAAGCTGATGGAATGAACAAGAAGTAAATTGTTCTTTTTTGTCGTGATTGTTAGCTTATTCTGTTGATGTTCACACATTCTATTAACAATATTAATGTATACCTCGGATTTAGAGTAATAGCATGTTTCTTTTTAATGCACAGTCCAGTGCAGCCATGTAAGCTAAAATATTGAAGTATGGTGCTTCAAAATCTCTTCACTGTAAAATGAAAGTTTCATCTTCCTTTTTCATTTGAAAATGAGTGGAAGGAAGAGGTTGTTTTTGGTTTGCTAGTTTTTGTTTTGCTTTAAACTCATTTTTACTGTATGTCTTGTGTTTATAACAAATGGCGTTTGTAGATTTTTGTGCAACATGGAGCATTACTGTGATATATAAAAAGAAAATAAAAGTAAAAAAGATAAGAGTAAGAAGTTCAACCTGTGTATTTAGAGCAACCTGCCAGCTAACTCCGTACGTACCCGAAGATGTGATTAACCAAACACAACCCATCCTTTACAACAGTTATTTTGAAGCCAAAACATACAACATTAACAGGAAATCAAAGTTTAAAAAATAGAAAGCTATATTTTCTGATTGAAGTCTTTTTCTTCTTTAAGACACATTAAATTGTATCATTACAGTCTTTTTTGTTTTAATTTTTCTAATTTACCAGACAATATTTTCAAAAACACTAAATTTAAATACTACTTTAAAGATTCATGTGTTTCATGTATAGAAAATAATAAAAGCTGAGTATGACAGATCTTTTCTCTTCTGTTGTAATACTATTAGTTCTGTACAAATGTACAGGGTCCTACATTCTCCCCATACTGAATCAATCCCAGACATTTAAGAAACACAACATAAAATCCTAAACATTACAAATTGTATTGCATTAATATCTGTTGTGTTCACCCAATACAAACAGTCCCTTAAAACAAGAAAAGTTGTACTGAGTCTATTGCGGTTCAGACTTTCCCCTGCATCATATAGAAACAGCTGGCCATTTCTGTAAAGCATTTAATTTTCCTTAGCTCTCCCATAATATAAATAAACAAATCTCTCATCACTTACAAGAATTAAGAGTATTACAAGATCTAAGAAGACCATAAACACTTTGAAGTTACCCTTATACAACATAAATATTTCACATTTAATATTGTACTTATCATAACTATATACTGTACAGTATATTTATTACAATTCCAAGTATTATTGGACAATTTAGCTTACATCATTTTGTGGTTTGGTTATACTGTTGATAACTGCCTCTAACAGAATAGTTTATTGTTTTGTTGGACAGTACTGGTGAATCTTGTATTATTTACTTGTATGTATTTAATGGTGTTGTATTGTAGGGTACTGGGTTGACAGATAACCTCCTTTTCCTGAATATACTAGTTGACAAATTCTTCAGCAACTGCTTGTGGAAAGCTGTTGTCATTATTTGATTTTTCTTGGATGATGAAATGGACCTGCTTTAGGGTCATACCCATTTCCCCTGTATGATTAGTCATGCTTCTCACATGCAGATTATTCCGATAGTGAATGGGAAAAGGAGCTTGAGTTCCGCACTAGTCCTCGTGTCTTCTAACTGTTTTGTTTCTACTTGGTGCTTTCAACTGGCAGGTATTCACAAGGCAATAGGAGGGTTAAATGTAACACTTTGTTTTAGCCTTTTCCGACTTCTGCTTTAAATCTGCACAGATCTTCCATATTTCCTGTTTACCAAAACATAGACACTGTCTTCCCACAGTGTTTTCAGCAGTCCAGGCCCAATCAGATCAGGAGATATCTTAGAAGACTTGAAGAACAATCATAGCACTCCTGCATTTGCTGTTTCACCTTTGCACATCAGTATGGTTTTATTAACTGGATTCTAAATTAGAGAAGAATCTAGAAAGTAGGTTAATCAATTGTCTGTAGTAGACTAGAGGAAAAAACCTCTTGACAAGTGAAGTTAAAGGCAGAAAGCTTCTTTTTAGGAATGCCTTCTAATTTAACTTTTGCTCTTCTGGTAGTGTTTTCAGACAACTTAGCAGAATGGTCCTGCTCATTCTCTCACCCTACACATTTCCTTTTGGATAATAAGTTGTTGTCCTTGACCTGTCAGTCTTACAGTAATACCAGAGTAGATGGGAAAGTTTGTTTTTAGACTTACAGTACTCCCTTGACCATAATGAAGTCTCTCTGGGATTCATAAAACTGTATAAAAACAAAGTCATTGACAATTTTATTATCAGCAGTGTGTGCTGTCTTTATTAGTAGTTGGACATATCTGTCTAAGTAATCCACGATCAAGAGAATGTACTCTTCAATAAACAAATAAAAAGACACGAAAAGGCAAAAACGAAAAGGCAAAGCTGTAATAATACCAAATCAAGGCATTTTCACTGGCTTTTGGAGATTTTTCTACCTAACACATCTGCAGATTTCATAGATGAAATGCCATGCTACATATGTGTGCAAGTGAAACTACTCTCTCAGCTTAAGAACAGTTACAAATTAGAGGAAGACCATCTAGATCCTTTGGTATATAGCAGCTACTGTAATTGATCCAAGGATTTCATTCAACAGGTTCTTTAAAGAAGCAATGGTATTGACTTCAACAACATGATTGGGTAGCTTCTTCTGTCCACCACTTTTGGGGTAAGGAAATATCATGTTCTTATATTTGAATGCACTTCCATGTAGTTTCCATTTGTGTCCTCTGGCTTGTGTTTCAATGTGAATTCTGGAGTCCACTGAGTTGACTTCATCAATACCCAAATACTTATATTAGGTATACTTGTATTCTTAGTTCAGGACTAAAAAGGTTCTATTCTTTCAGCTTGTCAGTGTAGGACATTATCCTTAAATCATAATGTATCTAATTGCTCTTCTCTGGACTGATTCAAGAGCAACGTTATTTTTTATAAGCTGGTGACCAAGACTGAACACAGTGTTCTCAGTGAGGTCTTACTAGTGTAATTTTAACATAACCTCCCTCTATTTAAATATTGTTCTTTTGAATATACACCCCAATGTTGTTTTATTTTTATGGCTGCCCTGTATTGTCCAGGAATGTAAATTATGTTTCAACATACAGTAAACAGCAACAAAAGTAGACTTTTAGTCTTTTACTTAAACAGGATTCTAATGAGGTCTGTCCAGTGTCCCTCCTCATGAAAAGTAGAAGGTGTCAGTATGACAAGATGGTTTATATCTGAGCTATTTCATTAGCTTACTGTGGCTGGGATTCCTCAAGCAGTGGCGTGCAATTGACCAAGTGTCAATAGGAATGGGTGGAGTTATTATAATAATAATAATAATTATAATTATAATAAAAATAATAATAATCATAATAATTCCTTACACTTATATAGCGCTTTTCTGGACACTCCACTTAAAGCGCTTTACAGGTAATGGGGACTCCCCTCCACCACCACCAATGTGCAGCACCCACCTGGATGATGCGACGGCAGCCATAGTACGCCAGAACGCTCACCACACATCAGCTATCAGTGGGGAGGAGAGCAGAGTAATGAAGCCAATTCATAGATGGGGATTATTAGGAGGCCATGACTGGTAAGGCCCAATGGGAAATTTGGCCAGGACGCCGGGGTTACACTTAGTAGACTTAGTTCTCTTTGACTTGTATTGCAACAGGAGTTCCTTTTATGCCAACTTTGGACCTACAGTGTTATCATTCAGATCTAAATCTCTTCATTTTCTGATATCCTATGTCTATTGTTGTCTGTTTGTGGTTTTTAAGTGTGTACAAAAACATTGTGTGGCAAATATACATTTTGAAGGTCCTGCACATTTGTTCTGTCCAAGGGTTTGGTTTGCTACAGGTTTGCTAAATTGATTGAAAATGTGCAATTCCAAAGTGGTACACACATGAAATGAAAAAAAAATGATGAATGATTAAATTATTTTAAAAAAATTAAACTCTACAATTTAAATGTTATGTTATAACCAACCAATTAGTTCATTTCTAAAATAGTATGATGTGTGGTAAAGCTAAATTAAAATGTGCTGTCTTCAGGATAAACATAGCATGACATTAAAAGGTGACTTAAGTTATTTTAGACTCTCGCTCGCACATTTACGATTACTCCTTAGATAGGAGAAATGAAAAAAGGGAATTGAGGTGCTCAGAACAGTGAGGTATATCGCACAGAGAGAATGGAAAAAATAGCATGAAAAAAACTGTGAAAAGCTCAGTGAAAAAAGTTTGTGAAGGGGAAGAAGTGAGAGGAACTTCTAGCTTACTGTACCATAGTAAACTTCTACATTATTTTTTTTTATCTGTGAATGAGGAAAGTTGCTTGTTATAGAATTGTTGACTTTTGAGTTGTCAATACTTTTGAGGATTTTGAAAAGTTGAATCCGGTCATACTATAGTCTTTTCCATTAAAGTTCAGCACTTTTTACACATGTATAGTACTGTATCTGGTCTGTTTTCTCTGGACTGATTCCAGTGCAACAATAATTTGTTTTTTTTAGCATGATGAACAAGGTCTTACAATGCAATAATTACTCATCAAGGCAAGTTGAATACAGATACGTATGAACCAAGACAAATGTATTTTAGATTTCTGGGAAAAAGAGCAGAAGAAAACTGTTATACGTGCTATTGTAAGTGTTGCTTTTCAAAGGTTATCTTTGATGTAAGTCTCACATTTTCTCTATAGGTTGTCTGTTGTTTGTGTGCAAGTTTCTAAAACCAATATCTGACACTCATGTCTTGTTCCTGCTGTAACTAATCTTGTAAACTTTAGTCTGGTTACAGAGAGGAATGCTGAGCTATGGTCAAATTGTACACATCCTGTGGGTATAATGTGGACCACTATACACAATTGAATGTTCCATTTTCAGCTTTTGCCAGTCATTTTCGAGTCAAAAATACATGCATACAGAAGTATAACATTTCTCTTTAAAATAAAATGCATTTAAAATGTTTTATTTATGTTTCAAACAATGTCACTGTCAATATATATTAATATGTGTGTGCTATGCAGTGCAGTGCTTCAATTATATGACAGAATGCTGAAAGTGTATACTGGCACTTTAAAAAGTACTAGCATAATAAATTAGTTCACTTCTTAAAAATCTGTGATGGCCCTATAACATTCAAATCCAAAGAGGAAAATCTTCTAGTATTTAGTATTCTCTGATTTTTACAATCCGCCTTAATCTAAAATAAATTAAGATTATGATTCTGGGGATGCTGAAGATGGCAGAAGTAGAATTCATTTCTAGTAATTTGTACTATAATTAATTACACTTACGTGCTTTCTGTGTTATTTATATTTTACCTAGAAATTATTTGCCAATAACTGTTGCTAAAATGCCTGCAGGTTTGAAAAATAAATACAATTTCTTTAATGGTTCATATCATAATGTGTCTGTGACATTGTCCGTTGTAGTAAACTTTATACTGAACTTTTTCCAGAGACTTTTTGCTGATTGTTAAAACCTAACCAAAATTATTAATTAACAAGTATTTAATCAGCTAAAGACAAGTTCATCAAACCAGAGCCCATCTTTGTTACTGTAGCATTAATCAGACTAAGAGATTGTGATTCCCTCCTGGAAGTGATTTCAATTCATTGCAGGTTTTACACCCATTCTTACTTATCCAGTCAGCAGCAGGAGCAACTGGGGTAAAGAACCTCACTTAACAATACAACAGCAGCATCACCTTTCTGTTATGAGTCTATCACCACCTCCTTCATTATAATACTCTTCCCTTTTCCATAATAAAAATTAATATGCTTCCTCACTTGAATCTTTTTTTGTTTCATTACATAGATATGACAGCAAAAGAGAACCTTTACTGCTTGTTTAGTTCTCTTCTGGTGCTAAGTGAACGCTACTTGCAGGCCTGTCACAAAATGAGAACAAAGATTTTCCGATTAGATGTCTGCACAGACTGTGGGCTTGATGTGGTCATAGGTGGAGCAAAGGGGGTTACAAATTGTGAAAGAACCATTTTCTTTTCTGTCAGTGTCACACTGTGGTTCTGAATTGTCACCATTCATGTCTGTAACAGGAAGTGAGCTCCTTCGCCTCAGCTAGACCTGTGAACCTCCAATTTTCTTCTGATTCTTCAAATAGAAAAATGATATTCACTAGAAATTCCAGATCGATTAATATAACTTGGGCATGAAGGTATTTTGTTTCTTTTCTTTTCGCTTGATCTGCTTGCCTTTCCATTTTACTCTCACAAAAATATTGTGTTTCTTCCCATTTAGCACATCAGTCAAAAATTCAAGGATGTCTTCCATCTCCCAGGCTTATCTTGGCTTTCTATGAAGTAATTGTTCAAAGGGAACAGTTTTATTTCCCTATTATCGTTGAGACGACAAGCTGATGTTTTTCAGCGCCTCAATACTTGCTTAATTTAGCAGATGTTAAAACCAGTGACAAACAAACCAAAAATCCAGCAAGAAAAACAGACTGCCACCCCCTGACAGATTTATGGATTAAACAAAAACAATGACATTCTACAAATACTGTAAGAAAAATACAAGTTTGAGTAGCACCACAAAAATACCACACAGATTCCACATACATCCTGTCTGCCATGTATAAGTCTAAACTGTGATTTCAATGTAGCAGATGAAGGAAAGTTAAAAACAGTGTTTTGAATGGATTAAAAGAATAGTATACTAGAACTTTGTTTTTAAAGCTTCCAGCAACCCTGCATTTGTGTTCTATCAAAAGTGTTATTATGCCTTGAAGAACATTTAATTTGCATGTTTAGACATATGACTAAATAGACAATTCCTTTACCACCTGGTTCATAAAGTGCATTATACTGTATGAGTTACAATCAAAATACAGCCAACTTTAGGATAAGCAGTCTGACAAAACAGGCAACATGACTAAAGGATATCAGTCCTCACAAGCCATCCTGATTGGCCGCTCAGTCACAACAAAGCTATTAAGTGAGAAAAAAAATTCTGGTCAAAAATTGAACTGGGTTGAGGGAAGATGCGGGATGAGGACTGTAGAAAGACATGTGTCATATTGAGAATCTCGACATTTTTTTTTTCTCCACAGAGACAGATTTTTTTGTTTTCTGTTGTGTGATTACAGCTGATCAGTGGGGCATCCCTCATGGCTCCTGTAGGTGAAGGCCTGGAGCTCTGGGCCACAGTGAGGGATCTACCCCAGGAACTAACAGTCATTTCCTTCTCAGCCCTTTTTATCTTCCTCATCCTTCTCATCCTCTGCACAACCTGTGGCAGGTGAGTATCAATGGCTGTCCTCCCAAAACAATTGAGGCTGTAAGTTCATAGGCCTTATTTAAACTATGGTGCATCTTTACATAGCTTTTGGATGGAGAAGAAGCTTAATTACATCTGTTAAGTACGTAGCCCATTAAGATGTTATAGTGAAATTTTCCTCCATTATGACAAAGTCTTCTTGCTAAGAAAAGCAATTATATTGCAGCAAAACACAACATTTAAAAAATCAAACTGGATAGTGGTGTTAGTATTTGGGGTACAGTGACCTTTGCCCCACTTTAATCTCATATAAGCACATTCAGCATCAAAGCATCATGTTTGTTTCATTTAATTCTACCACGTTTTAGTTTAAACATTCAAATCTGCCATTTCAACCAGGCTTCTCTCTTTCTCTACCTCAAATTACTAAACGTAAGTCTCATTTCACCTCATGACTTCAAAGAAAGTGTCACATAGCCTGAGGAATTTTTATCAACAATGTTTGCTTGAAAAGTCAGATTTATGTTGACTGCAATATTTTACTTATCACTATTTACAAGCAAATACTGCTACCTTGTCAGGGGATGAGGGAAATTAAAAAAACCTTTTATTTCTGAGTTAAGGATTTTTTTAAGAGCCTGGCTTTGTCTTTAGGATTGTTATCATGCTGCAAAACAAATCCACCACAGTTCTTCCTCCCAGGGGCATTTCTTGATATTGTAGGATGGAATAGGATAGTCTGTCAAACTTCATTTTTTAATGTACTTCCTTGTTGCATAAAAGCAAGCTTACAAAATTTACTTTATCACTACTGTAGGTGATACATATGTGGCTAAAGTATTCCTCACCAATCCTTTAATTGAATAATTTACTTTCTCTTTAATATTGAAATGATTAGCTGTTAATACTGTACATTTCTACAAATTATGTTTTTTTGCACAGTCTGAATGTTTTTTAATGTTTTCCTCGTCTGCAAGTTCAAGTTCAAGCTTTCCCTGTCAATCCAGATTTTACTGTTGCCTTTTCTGTTAGCTTTTCTGTTTATTTTTCAAACTTTCAACCATTTTGTTCACCACAGAACTTTTTTATAAGCTGAACTGCAAAGTGTACCAAATAAGACAGAGCAGTGACTCAGTCTCACTGAAGACTCAATGAAAACCTTTAGGAATTGGTTTGCATTCTCAAGCATTCCTACATCTAAAAGATCCTAACATTTTCCCAAACTAAGGTATTTTTTGGAATCTGGTATGATTTTAAAATATGCAGTTCTTGGTTAATTCTATTTTATAAACAGTTAGCAAGAATCTTGGCACCTGTTCTCATTCATTGTGCCAATGGCTACTTAAAGCTAAAAAAGACAAGTTACAGAAGTGACACCATTTCTATTTATTACATATGTTCCATCACACACAGGATTTTTTAGACCTGGTAATAACGCTCTCTCTTATAGATATATAAATACTATGTGTATGTAGTTATTTTCAGAACTGATTGTGGTCAAATCCTTAAGTGGCAGCAGTGTTAATCGTGTCACAACCTGAATAGATTTTTTATTTTAGCACAACAGAGTGTAGAGCTACAAATAAACTTTAAAACATGTGTACTTAGCTTTAAGAAGGTAAAACAATGAACACACATCCTCAAAGCCATATCCTATCCCAAATTAATAATATAAAAGAATGTAAAAACCACTATACTGTATATACCATACAAACTGTATATGCATGTTCTAAGTCCTAAGCACCACTGTAAAAAAGCATTTTGAAATCAAAGATCAAGTACAGAACCAAATCACCTAAAAAGACAAGTACATCAATTACAGGCATGGGTTAGCAGTAATCATTGAGGGGCCCAGCTGGAACACAGACCAGCAGATTAAGGGACACTCCACTCCAGCACCAGTCACAGAGAACCACTTTTTGTAATATTAAAATATAACTCAGCATAAAATGCAATACAAATTAGTTTAATTTAGATTTACCTCCTCTTTGTTGCACTTTAAACACATATACTCTAGGATTTCCTGAAGTGTAAAATTCAGCACCACTGTGTGAAAACAAGAAAAATGTTTTTTAATAAGTAAAGAGGAGCAATTACATTTAGTCAAAGCCTTCAAACAGCAAAAAACAAATTTGCTGACCTAAAATGACATAAAAACTTGTATTGTTTGTTAAAATTTAAATATCAAAACAATTAGCACTGTTAAATAATAATTCCAATATATAAATAAATTTAAATAAGCTGCTTTATCTTTTGCACAGGTCTCTGCCTCACTGGCCTGTTAAACACACATGAATTTTAAAAGGAACAACTTCCTAACAGGAAAAAACATAAATCAGTTAATGTGCTTCATTAGACACAATATTATCCCACAAAAGGAAACGAGGTCATAGCAGATCTTTTAATTGTTAGATCTTTTAAAAACTGCAATACTTTTAACTAGTACCTGTTTTTATTACTCTTTGTATAAAATCGTTTATTTATAAGGCATTCTTAGTTAATGAAATACCAACATAAGGCATTATGGAGATACAGTATGTAATACAGTATACTGTTCTGCAAATTTAGATACTGATATTTTTTATTGCTTTCATGGATTGGTTAATCATTCTTTTATTCTTGGCTCTCACTATTTTTGCCTTTGCCTCTTCAAGGAAAATATATTTTTCAAAACGTACCGTAAATAGTGGTACAGAAATCTAATAATTCCACAGTTTTAGGTATTGTGAGTATAGTTAGAACATAAATGCACCATAATGATATGATGTGATTAACATCAGGTATCAATGCTTGATCAGTTCACCTACTGTACAGTACCACATGAAGTATCTCTGCCAAAGATACTTCAGATCTTGTGAGAGGAAAGCTAGACCCAAAACTACTCCATTTTATAGAATAAGTAGTACTATAGTGGATGAATCTTCAAAATTAATTACTTTTGCAAAGATTTTATATTTAATTTTATAAGATTTTATCTGTAATCACGTGATAATCACTAAGTCAATCAGAAAGCTAACAACATTATGATAGCAAAGGACTTGATTCTTGATTCTAAAAAAGGGTTTAGTTTTATTTTCATGGCTATGCACAGATTTACCAGCAGGTGGTAATAAAGACTTCACCATTTTCTCCATTGAAATACCATTAGGAATAACAACAACAATGATAATAATTATACACATTATTTGATATAGTGTCTGTAAAAGTAACACAAGCAGTTAGAGGTGCAGCAGACAATACATGGAGATTATGATAGGAGGCCAGTGCAAAGACTCCAAGACAGGCGTAATGTGAAGACGTGTATGCAACGTGGTCGATATTCTTGCTGTCGAATTCTGGACATACTGCAGTTTTATTCAGTGTATATTGAGATACCACTGAAAGTGGGTGTTACAGTAACCAATTCTAGTAAAAGAAAAGACCAGCCTTTCTGGTGCAGCTGAAGGCAACATACTGTAGGATGTAGTCTGGCAATATTTCTGAGATGAAAGAATCCAGTTATTAAAATATTCTTCACATTAGAATCAAAGGTCAAGACAGGATCAAATATCACCCTTAAGTTCTTCAATTGTTTTTAATTCAAGCACAGTGATATCCACAGAACTAATTTTACATCAGTAGTAGCAATTCAGGGTAACTAATGCAATGTTTGCAAGTGTCTATGATTTTCAGCTTATATGGATTAGATATTTAGCTGAATTAAAATAGCTGCATGGTTTGTTTCTGAAAGTTACCTATACAACACAAAGAACTACCCTTTCATCATGGGTAGCTGTTCACACTGTTGTATTACTTGTAGAAGTCATACTGTGGTTTAACCGATGTGCTACAATACATGCTTTTTACAATGTCTATCAGCTTGGTGAGATCATTGATCTATAAATCAGTGGGAGTGGTGTTAGACAGGAATAAGAGTGTGGTTAGAGTGGCCTCTACTGGGAAGAAGAGGACATGCATCAAGGCAACACAATTTTTGGACAGAACCAGTACTGTAACCAGAGAATTCTGTTTTTCATTCCAGAGGGGATCTCAGTGACTAAAAAGTGAAAAGTGAAATTTAACTAATGATATTCTAATTAGACTTTTTTGAATTAACATATTTTAAATTGTTCCATTTAAAAAAGTTTGATTTCATCATACCAGTATTCTAAATTGTTACATATTACTCTGCTAAACAAATAGAAAAAAATGTCAATCGATATTTCTTTACCCTGGAACAATTTCAGGGAACATGGACATCACACTTCAAAACTGTACTGAGAAACTAACAAAATAAACTAACATATAAGTGTATGAAATTAATAACAATCTATTTGTGAATTACTTTAATTTAGATCTGCCACTGTACAGTAACCACCCTATTAAACCAAATCTAAATTACAAAGCAGAAGGTTTAATCTAAATTTAAAAAAGAAGAAAGACAATATATTTCTAGCCAGTAGCTATATCACCCTGCAGCTCAAAAGTGAGAAACTGCTGAAGCTGAGCAGGTGTGAGGCTGGCCTGTACCTGGTTGGGAGATGAGCTGCTGGAACAGATGATAGTGGAACAAATAGGGAATGTCCCAATGGGGACACTATATGGTAATAAAGATGCTGTCCTTTAGATGAGATATACTGTAAAATCAAGGTGCTGACTTTCAGTGGTAATTAAAAATCCCAGGGTGTCTCTCAAAAAAGTAAGGGTGTTAACTCTGGTTTCCTGGCCAAATTTCCCCCTGCCCTATACCAATCCTGCCCACTAATCGCTGATGTGTATTAAGTGTACTGGTACAATTTGGCTGCCGTAGGAGGTAGGTGTTATACATTGGTGATGGGGGGGATCCCAATTACCTATACTGTATACGTGTATACAATATATAATATAACCTACACATTTGTATGCAACAATATCAGTGAATACTAAAAACAATATTATAAAGGTATCTTCAAAGAAAAACATTGTACTGTACACACCTTAAATAATGTGAAGTTCTTATTCTTTCTTGAACAAATCTATTTCATATAGCTACATCAGTGAATGTGCATTAATGTACTATATTTATATGTGTTGATGGCCAATCCACAACCCACAAAATGTAGCTCTGAGTCAGTGTTCCACCTTACCACTGCACATTTGAGTGGTCTGTCATGACCTTGCGTCTTACACTATCTCGCGGATGGATTGGATCCCTCCAGGTTCCAAGATGTACTGGTGGTCCCCTTTCTGAGAAGACTGCACTGTTCAGTTTTTCTCACAGATGGTTCTTTGCTCCATTAGCTTCTCAGACATGCACATACAGTAACTGTACCCCAAATGACTGAATCTGTGCTTCTTTCACGCTGAACAGGATCCCTACTAAACAATACATTATCAATTGGGTAAAACTAACCTGTACAAACCCTGACAAAGGTCTAAACCCAGCTCATGTTCCCGGCTTGGATTGAGAGCTGACTTTCAATAGATCACAGTGAGGTGGCTGCTCTGCTGCGTTCGAACCCCTGATCTAAAATTAGGTAATCTGTGAACAATTAAGCACCACGTTCCCCACGAACAGGCAATGCATTAATAGGACAGGGCCAGCTGCTCGTCTGTCCACACCACAGCTCTGTTGCAAACGGTGCTCGTTGGCGGCCACCCGAGACCAACCAGAGTTCTGCAGAGCAAAAGTATTTTTCCTTTTAAGGGGGATTCTGACTTACAGTAGACACCTTCAGTCACCTCTTATAGTCTTGGACCACATGTTGGGAACCAGTGCTCTAAAGAAATCAAGTTTTTTCTACAAGTGGTGCTGGTGAACCATTAGGTGACACTCTTACCTCTGGGCCACAATTTCCAAACCAATACACAAACATAATGACCAGGTACAATATGCTATCCTTTGCATTTGACTATAAATTAAGATCCTGACGACTTGATCAATCAATCAAACAAAGTTTATTCATCAAATGCACAACAATACAGCATGCAGCAATAATTGCTAGCAATGAAATGTTTTTCTGTGAGCTCACGAGGGGGAAATAAAAATAAAAATCACAAAATTAAATGTTACAGAATTAAGTTACATAATAATAGTACAATAAAAATTGTATTTAAAAAAACTCAATATAAATAGAACTGCTACATATCCAGAGTTTATGCAATACATTTTGTCCAAATAGTGCAATATGTTGTGTGCCAAATGCAATGGAAAACTGTATGTCCAGGATCTTCAATGACTTTATGTCATTGAAGATCCCCTGGCACTGTTCATACAATAAGAATAAAGGTGTTAAACCTTGGTGCCTGGTTAAACTTCACTCTGGTCTTTTGCAGTTTGGACTTCCTAAAATGCCCCCCCCCCTTAATTGCTCAGTTACTAGACCCCTCTCCACAGTCTGTGTAGAGTAACTTCTGGAATATAAAGACTGACACAACATCTCCCAGGTGAATGCTGCACTTCAGTACTGGATGGAGTGGGACTCACCCTGAATGTAAACAGTTTTGCATTCCTTTTACTACATAAAACATAAAGTATAAAGTGGTTCAGGAGGGTAGCTGCGTCAGCATGCATAGTCTGCAAAGGAACAAGTAATAGGTTTATTCCATGCTGAAAAGAGAAGAGAAAAAACACAATGTTTGGGCTATGGAGCTTCACAGCTGAAACATTGTGTTTTCTCTCTGCTCTTTTCAGCATGGAATAAACATATTACTTGTTCCATAAAGTATAAAGTATTTAATTATTGACTGCACTTCTTTTAAGACAGCACTTTACTGTATACTGAAAAACACATGGGTAATGGCAATGTATATTTTCTAATGAATCAAACAACAGACATCACTTACATATGACGGTCTTCTTCCTGCTTTCAGGCAATCTTTTGAGTTGAAGGACACCACTAGAACTGAAAAGCCATCTTCTCAGCTGGTTAGAGTGGTAAGTTCAGTTTATATTGAACCCTAAAGGGCCTAGATGTCAATTTGCAAATTCCCTCTATTAGGACTTAAACTTAATCAATTTTGGTAGCAGTTAGGGTTGACATGATTATTCAGTGCATACAAACGTGATCCTAGAAAGAGATGAAAGTTTATCTGTAAAAACTGTGCTGCAATAGCACTTTTATTTGTTGTTTACCACTATTGAATATGACAAAATACATGTAAGTGACTTTGACATGTTGAGGGTAGCGATACGCTAGACATATTAGAGTAAGAAATAAACAATCATCAAACTAGTCTGATTCAAAAGTATTGTAACGTGTTTTATTTCAGCTCCTTCTCTTTATTATTTAATTCACTCATCTAAATTCTTCCAGTATAGCTGATCCTTAACTCATTCTAAAAAATACCAAATAGCATGTTTGGTTTGGGAAAGTGAAGATTTAATGTACTATTGTGTTCCACAGATCAAACTTGAAGATTCAGGATCCAGAATAAATCCAGACCTCAAGAGAATTATGGACGATGAGAAAGGTAGAAGGTTTGATTGTTATATGACTACATTCCCATGTTTCCCTTGAAGGGTTACTTTGATAATTGCTCATAAGTTATGGTCCCAGGCTATGAATTCAATTACTACATTAAGTCTGATCTAGAAAAAAGTTAAAATGAGAGGATCATTTTATTAGAGACACAAGAAAAGGCAAATCACTATGTATCCTTCTAACACAAAACAAAGAGCAATGCAGTCATTTGAAGAATTTGTTTGAACATCCACTTGCTCATAGTTATTCCACAGTGATAAGGGTCTTGTACTGAAGGATGATGTTAGTGAAGAGCTAAACAGGAAAGACAAGCCAAATGTCCTCTTCTGATTCAAAAACTACTATCTTAGTAGATATGGGCACAAATACAAAAAAAAAAAACAGTTATCCCATTCATCATGCTTTTTCATAATATTACCAAGTGTCATTATTTTTAATTATACAAGTATAGGAGGGTGGTTTAGAGCCTTTAAGAAGCAACTAGACTCCTGTCACAGATTGTAGGGTAAGTATTTCTCTGCTGAATAAGCATGGATAATCACATACCTCAAATCCAATGACTTGTACAGTACGTAGCTTACAGCACATCACTTTTGTTTTTCAAATAAAATGTAATCCCATCCAAGTTGTTTTTAATGGCACGTAATCTAAAGAGGACTAGTACAGAAAGACAGATGCTTTTCATACTGGCCCTGCAAAATGAGCAGCCTGATTTCCATGAAACAAAAGTTGACCACCACACTCCTTTAAATACACAAGTCACATACAGATATAAAGGGTCCGTAATTTGTTGATGGCCATAAGAATATTTTTCTGTTAACAGATTTGTTAAACAAAAGGAGGCAAAGTGCAAGAACTTTATTCCAACAAATAGCTTAATAGCAAAAAGTTATAACAGCAAAGTGTGTTAAGTTCATAAGCTTCTACTCACAAGCAGTGCGATTAGCAAACACATTTAGCCATGCCCCTCGGACAACACCTACACCATCTACTGTGCCTCATTATAATTGTATTTATTGCACATCTCCAGTCATTGTTTACATGTCTGCACTGTTTACATTCAAACTGTTTACTTGTTTACTTTCACATTGTCTACTGTTTGTATATTGTCTTGATGCACTGTCTGCACATTTTACACTTTTTTTAACAATTGAGAGACTTTCTGTAAGTAAGAATTCCATTGCACCAGTACTTTACCGGTTACATATGGCAACACAATTCAAGTTCAAGCCCCAGAGTCTGCACACACAAAACCCTTGTAACAATGTGCATTCCTAAAATCTTAACCAATTAACTAATAATTAACCAGTCCCCATTGTGCCTTTTTACAATTTACAATTAGTTTAGCAGCAGTTCAGCTGTGATTTATCCCTTTTGCTAGCTCAAACTGCTACTGAATTCCTTCAATGATCTCTTATTACATAAGAGATGTCACTGTGACATCTTTGCACATACTGTATCTGTGCAAGATTTCAGCTCTGAAGCTAATTAAACACTTGGCACTCATACAGTAGGTAGCAAAACATGTTGCCAATAATTTTAGCACTAAATTCTCAGCAGTTATTCCAATGTATGTAGTGTGTTTAAATAAGAGTTCCAGATCTTAGATCTCATAGAAATGGTAACAAATTAACCTCAATAGCAATAATGCAAACTTTTGAAAAGTATGAAATGTTCACTCTCCATATTTCTCAGAAAATGGCAAGAGGTTTGTCTAGAGTTATGAGTGAAAGAATAAAACAGCAAAGGCAACTGCAAGATATTTACCTCTAAATAAGAGTCTGGATTAAATAGAATTTTAACCACTTGCCAGATGGATAAACAAAACACAGCCTACTGTAGAACATCAGAGGCTGAACATGTTGAAACATGCTGCAAAGGTTTCGTTTCTGACATTAAGCTTTCATTTTCAAGTATAAAAATAAAACATTTCCCCTGTTACATTAAAAATGTTACAATGGTTACTGATAAATAATATTAGTAAGTTAAAAGAATATATAGACCAGACTTTTCAACTGTATTATTACTTGTATTTGTTTTTTTACTGTTTTCCTTATGTTCATTTACTGTCAATTGAAAATACAGGATTTATATCACCTGTAAGTGGCAAAATAAAAGGAAATTTAAGGCACAGTAAAAGGAAAATAAATCTTTTAACAATATGACATAATAATACAACTTGTATAAATCTGTGTAAAATGCATCATAGAAGGGTTTGAACAAAATACACAAATAAGTAGGAAATAAAAAAAGCACAGATGTGTGGGCAATTAACAGAGCTTGCAGCATAAAATATATCAATAAATTAATATCTTTCTTTGTGCTTCACACAAAAATCCATTGTCAATGTTCTGCTTCTGATAACATTTTGTTGTTTTTGTTTTCTTTTGGAGATAATACTCCTAGAATCACAAACCAGAGGAAACCTATTGATTTTGGAATTGAAGAAATATTTAACTGTAGTGATACTGCAGAAAAGCAAATCTCAGCATCTCAAAGGAATTCCATTGAAATGGATGTAAGTCTTGAAACAGCTACCATAATCACTCTACATAAGGAATTTACACAAACTTCTGACAACATCTCTATTGGAAAAGGCCAACTATTCAATGGCAGAAGGGATAAAATAGAAGGGACACTTAAAAAATATACAGATACAAATTTGAATGTTTCTGGGATACATCTAGAAAAACAGAACCTTTCTGCTGTCCTACAAGAACCTGCCAGTCTTCATAACAGCCCATCAGCAAACACTGAAAAAAATCAAAAAGCTCTTTTATCCAATGACCAAATTTTTTTCAACAACCACAGCTCCAGCTTCAACTACAGTCCAGGGTTTCCTAGAGATTATCTGGACCCACCCTATGAAAGCATTGCTGAAGTGAAAGAAGCTGCTTCCAGACTCAAAGAGTCTGATTGCCCATCACTTAACAGAACATTAATAGAGTTACATAGCCCCTTACATCCCTCCTTCTGGGAGGAGTCAGAAGACCCAGATTACCATACTGTTGAGGATCTGAGAGAATCCAATTGCCTCCCACCTCTTCAGGATTTAAACCAGATCACTGTGAATGTGATGTCCGATATAGAACTTGAAAAATATCCTGAAGAGGGTGGCGAGAATCTTCATGCATTATATGCCACAGTCAGCAAAAAGAGTAAGGCACTGCCCAAGCAGGAGACCTCCACTGAAGAACCAGACTGCCATCCTCCAGAGGAAGAAGAGCCTGCCCCTCCAGTGCCAGAAAAGAGGTTTGATATTTGACCCAGGTGGTAAATAGATTTTGTTTTCAACTGGCCAAACTTCTTTTTAGGCCAATCAGATGGCTTTACAAGGATCATGAATGTGGAGACTGAATATCTGAACCCATAAAAGCAGACATACTCTAGAGATCTTATTGGTAAATTAGAAAATTAGAGCAGGAAATGTTCATGATCTGTGAAGATATGCAGTCTATGCTGCAGTAAACTTATGAGTTTTCACTTGCTTTAAAAATTAACCAAACACTTCTTTATGTTATAAGTACATTTTACAAAAGAGCTGTATATTCAAGGACTTATTATTCATGAACTAACACATGTTCAGGAAAGATATAACAGAAGTTATAACCACAAATTGATGTTGCAGTGATAGAAAGGGTTGTAAAAGCACAGTCATATTTAATGGGTGAGAAAATGAATGATACACAATTCAATTCTGGCTGCAGCACACTGATGAAGTCAAAACAGTCACTCGTCTGTTGTATTGAGAAAAAGGGTAAAGCTCTTCAGCAGGCATTTTCAATGCCTTTTTTTCCCTCTGCATTGAGAGTAAGAAGAGAAATCCCTCTCTATCCAATGTAAAACAGCACATTATATCTTGTACTAAATGCTATTTGTTTTGTGTCCAACTTTCCTATAGAACTTCAGGGTTTTTGGTAGGACAAATTGAACTTTGCCTCAGAATAAAAGCACTTTGACTCAGAAAAATCACAAGGGGGATGACTTCTCCATTTATGTAGAACATAAGCTAGTGGTACATAAGCTACTAGTAACAGTCCCCATACTCACACAAATATCTGCTTGCTAACAGCGACTCCAACTACTTGCTAAAGTAGTCCATGGCCATAGGATATATTGATTACCAAATTAAGAGCATTGCGAGGAGTCCAATGTGTCTGCCCCCTGACATTCCAAGCACTTCCCACCTGGAACCACTGTAGTGAGGAATAAAGGAAATATTTCAGGCATTCTTGAAATATTCTTGTGACTTGTCCTTCAAAGTGCTGTAGCAGAAGACCAGACAAAACTCATCTAGAAACTACCATCTTACAGGACTCAATCATACAATTCTTTGTGTATTTGTGATTAAGAAAACACAGAACTCGCTCACGGGTTTTCAGATTTAATGTCATTATATATTTTCAAAATTATTCTTAGAAGAATGGACCATGTCTCTTATTCATAGAGAATTTGTGGAAAGACCATCAAATTGGTATACTGCCCTCCATATCTATCGCCCTCTGTATCACTCAGTTAAGTGACTGTTTTATTGTACCTCTTTCAAGTCAAAGTGCTGCTTATTCCTTGCCTGTTGCTTCTTTTACACTTCTTTTATTTTTTTTCTATATGGTATATATTTTATCAGGGACACTCAGCAGCGTTATTGTTCTGTAGTTCCTGCATTCTATATTATCCCATGTTTGCTTTTATGAGTATGATTCCTTTACCACAGCCATCCAGGATCTCATTGTCATTTATCTTTTTAATCAGTCCCTCCACTGTATTATCCTTAATACCATTACTGCTCCTCCTTTCAACATCTCTGTTGTTATTCCATCTGTTATAGGTGTTTTATTCCTTCTCAGCTCTTTTATCTCTTGTTCTACGTCCTCTGTCAGAATACATTCTGTAATCTGTTAGCCATTTCTGACCAATACTTCAATAGATTTTGAACAACTTTGATTTGGCACTTGTACAGTACCTTGAAGTGATTCTTCCATTGAGATGATGTGATGTACTGCAGGTTGTTACTGTAGGTGATGAATGTGCCTGTGAGACTGAGCACCTGATTCTGTCAATAATCTATATAAGAGGGTTTCTGCAGAAATGAGTTTTCCACTTTGCTTATCAGACTACATGATATAATATGGAGAGATCACACAGAGAATGTAGTCATAAATATTTGTTGTTTTGTCTTGTGGTGTCTTTTAATTTATTTTTACACTTAACCCTCTTACCCTCTTACCCTTACGCTAGTTATCATGCCATTGTACTGTAATACATAAGTGGTTGAGTGACATAGTTGCATGATGCCATCTGTAACAACATTAAGTCTTGTGCCCTGGCATCCTTTTCATTAGAAATAAACCTCAGCCTTAATCTAACCTAAACACACAAAGACACCTCATGAGTACATTTTGAACAAAGGTAAACCCATATCATAGGAACTCCTCCTTATGTTATCTATTCTGAAGAATTTTGTCCTTGGGCTCACATATTCACTTCTTCAAACTCTGATACATAAGTCAGTGGTTTTATTTGATATGTGGCTAGTTGTTTCTATTGGTCCGCTTATCATTACCATTATCCCAAAGAAATAATAGATTCAGCCACATGGGATGTTGTCTAACTTAAAAACTTACTTTTTCATGATTGCTTTGTGATTTCTATTTGCTTTGTTTTTTTTAGGATTTGTTGTGTTTTTCAACTGTATTTAATTGTTCTATGTGCATTTTTTTATATTTTAAAGTACATTGATATTATTAATTTATAAGGCACTATATAATTTTAGGATTATTATTAGAGAGTGACGTTGCAGGAGAGATGGGATATAAAATTAAAGAAATGGTTAAAGCAACTTACAAGCTACATCTTAAAAAGCAAACACAGAAATCGTGGGTAGCATGCGTAGGCTGTAAAGGAACAAGTAATAGGTTTATTCCATGCTGAAAAAAAAGTAGAAAGAAAACACAACGTATTGGCCGTGGAGCCTTCTTCAGGTGTGAGGCCGTGGAGCCTTCTTCACATCACACCTGTGAAACATGGAATAAACCTATTACTTGTTCCTTTGCAAACGCAGAAATTGCTGTCCTGGTGAACCTCTTTACAAACTGATGAAATCTGGAATGAAACAATAAAAAAGACCTAAGCATAAAATGTATTGTAAACTCAGAAGGAAGGCTTTGCTCAGAACAATGGTAATAAAAGTACAAGTGTAATTTCATTGTTTTGTAGATTCATTTCACAAGATTCATTGATTGATGACCAGAAAGCCACACATTCCAAGTTTCCTGGACAAAATAAATTATTTACAACAATGTGAAAATCTAAAATATTTTATGATACAATGGTGCTGTTTTTAAAATTTTACGTTTTATATCCATGTCAGACCCTTGTTTTTGTAGTCTAACATAAAAAGAAGAAACAGAAAATTATTTGCTGTGTCAAGACAAATCTCTTGGAAGAGTATTTATTCTCCGTTTCAGCTTTCTGCCACAACAAACAGCAGTCATCTGTTGGTCTGTGGGAGGCAAACCACCTAAAAACATCAGACCTCTGACCCCGGGGTCAGTTTTACCATGACCATGTGAGGGCATGTGACATTTCCTATTTAAGTCTCTTTAGAATCTGCCTTTTACACTGAATGTGTGCAGCATTAACATACTTCAAGCCTATTTCCCTCCAATTGAGGAGTATTTTATAAACGTACTTTGTATTGACATATTTCTGTGAAATTGTATATGGACTTTAAAACCAAATAGAATAAAAACAAAAGCCAATAGCAAACAAATGGAATTATCTGGGTAGAAAGCATATTTTTATGACACTCCACTATTAATGTGTCATCAGGTAATTATCATAAGAGGCTAACTGTGAACATGTAGTTCAGTGCAAGCCCTTCATTCCTGTACTACCAAACTGAAAATTCAAGCTTTCAAACTAAATTTGTTAATGAGGCAAACTTAGCTCCCAATAATCAGAAAAAAAAAACATGTTCTCATATTACTTTTCTTCATAGCTAGCAGAGCTTGAGTTGAAGGTGTCATTCTCAGTATGGTACAACACCAAAATGTACCAATACTGTATATCTTCTGTATATGCATTTCCTATTAAGAGACAGTCACAAGTCACTTTCAGACTTTCAGGTTGAGTGAACATACTGTGATTCTTAAGTCTTTTGTTTGGTTTGGGCACCTGGATGAACTAGAATCATCTGGGTTAAAAAAAAAAAAAACATGTCCATGAAAGGTTGAATCATTTTAATGGAGATGCTTTGAACCTGCGTCATAGCTTAGGTACAAAGCAGTGGTTGGAAAAGCAAGAAATTTCCAGACAAACCCAGTTTCAGTACTGTATGAAAGAACAATGCGTTTGGAGGCTCCAGGCTTCACTGAAAACAGAGAGAGAAAATATGATGTGTTAGGAATACACTATTTACACTGACAACCTTTTAGGGAATCTCCAGGTCCATAATTATTATCTCAATAGTGCATGTTCAACAGCTGTACATGAACTTATTTAAAGTTTGACCACTTCCAGATGTAGTTCAGTAAAGTTCTGTAGTAATGAACAAATAAGTGAACAATAGTTTAAGAAACAAAGGCTTTTACTTCTAATTTTAAAATGCTTCTTTAGGACCAAATGTAGGCTTGTGGTGGGTCTTAATTTGCCCTATAATGTTTGCTGTGAACTCAAGCTTTTCTGTTCTAGTTTTTAAACTTTGGTTGTCAGGTGGCTAAAACAGTTATGGACAAAAACAAATATCTGTATTTACCATATGTTCTGTGATCCATACACTGATTCTTCCATACACATATCTTCCTTTTGGTCCACACTTTGAATACTGCTCCAACATCTTTGCTCACACATTTTTACTAACCCTTCCTAATATGTGCTTTATATTAACAAACCCACTACCTTTTACCCCGCATCTATACTATGTCTGCTAGAAAATCTAATATTTAGTATCTTCTGGTTAAGTTCTATTTCAGAAATTGAATGTTGCATTATACTACACACTACTGCAAATATCAAGGAAACTGTCAACCTCATGAATTGAAAAAAAGATCATAGTTTCATACTTCTTTCAGACTAAGAATATCTTACACTCCTCATAACTCACAAAACCTACTTGAAATTTTTTAGGAAAATAATGTCAAATTCATGACTGACTGTGACACACTTGAGAAACTTTGACTGTTGTATTATTAGTAAATCAGAGAGAGTTCACTGGACATAGTGTAGGTGATGAAGTAGTTAGATGTATTGAATGTCAAGCTTGGTGAAAATCAAGAATAAGAAAACAAAAATGAAGCCAATACACTCCACTAACCAAGAGAATAAAACCTTTATGCCATTGGTATATTAGAAACATGTCACTGCATAGCCATCTAGGGTGTTCATAACCAAGCCATTTTACAACCAAACACAGCTCATCAATTATAGGTAACAGTCAAGTCATGACAACCATAAGTGTGATGGTCTGAGCAGAACTCCACCTGCCTTGATGGAAATCAATTTACTGAAAACAGAGAGAGAAAATGTGATGTGTTAGGAATACACAATTTACACTTACTGTGTGGCAGTGAAGAAGTCCTAAAATTCCAGTGGCTGCTCTTCCTGTTCTGTTATTCTAACATGAAAACATTCCAGCAGGATAACATACATTATGATAATGCTAGTGTAAAGAGCTGTTTTATTGCAAACTGAGAATATGACAGTTATGATGTGGATGGCCTCCTTTCCAGACTTAAGCTCCTCTGGACATTTATAGGATGAACTGAGGCAATGTGGGACATCAAGGGCTTGGTGACCAGAGAGACTATATGCTCGTCCAGGCATTAAGAGAGGAATGCTTCCCATAGAATCCCATTGGACAGTCACTCTACAATCTGGTGCAAAGCCTGCATCACAGATGTGCAGCTCGTATTGCTTCTGACAGTAGCCACACATGCTACCAGTTGGTGACTTTTACTATAAACCCCTTGTAGATGACAAATGTTAATTAGTATAGTTAATTTGCATGTGCTATGTGATGTTTGATCAAATATTATTCCACCTGCTACAAAACAAAAAATGGGAATTGCTATGTGAATTTGTTGTAGATTTAAATTAGTATATAGTTTATTTGACAATAGCACAGAACGTATATTTATGGTAATTTGTGTTTTATGCATCATCAACACACACCTGTGTATGTTTTATTATATTGTAACGCATACGGCCTCCACTGCTTGTGAGAGCTGGTTTACCAGAGCGGTGACGTCACCGCCCTTCCCTGTGAATAGCAGGGACTGCAGTCGCTGGGCTGATGGAAGATTTCCCTTTGGCTCAAGAGGCTGGGTCCCTGTTGAGTGATGCTGGAGGCCCAGGTTTGAGTCCCCGACGGTGGGGGGCTGACCTGATGCGGCAGCGGTGTGGGCACCCATGTGAACCCTGTAGAGTTACATTGGTGTCAGAAGTGAGGTGGGATAGCCCTTCGCCGAGGATGGCGAGTTAAGCGGGGGAGAGTGTAACGCATACGGCCTCCATTGCTTGTGAGAGCTAGCTTACCAGAGTGGTGACTTCACCGCCCTTCCCTGTGAATAGCAGGGACCGCAGCCGCTGGGCTGACGGGAGATTTCCATTTGGCTCAAGAGGCTGGGTTCCTGTTGAGTGACGCCGGAGGCCTGGGTTCGGGTCCCCGATGGTGGGGGGCTGACTTGAGGCGGCGAGGGTGCCCACATGAACCCCGTAGCATTAAAATATTATTTTCTTCAGGACTCTAGAATTTCAAGTATGTGACAAAGGTTATAAATAAAGAGACCATTTGGCCTGTCTTACCTATTGTATCTGGTTGCTAGCAGCTTTGTGTCCAAAGAATCTCCTCCGGCTATTTCTTAATGGATACCAGAGAAACTACTTTAAAGAGCATGATAAGACAATTTATTCCAAACTTCCACTATCCTTTATATAAAAAGGTGCTTGGAAACTTGAAAATGCCAGAACCTTAACTTACATCTTTATCTCTCTAGAAACGTCTCTCTAGAAACGTTTCTCTCCTAAACAATTTCCTCAGGACATTTAAAACATAGGAATAACACAAACAGAATCGCTTTTAGAAACATAGAACATGCTCTTAATGTACTTAGTGGCTCCTTTTCTAAGTCAATGCAAATCCACAATTCACATCATGCCACTGTCAGACTTTGTCTGGTGGCCATGCTCACGACATGGCTTGCACTTTAAAACAGAGTGAAAAAGTTGAGTTCAACAAGATTCTGGCTCAGTTTTGATTACCATGTGTGTGCCACTGTGAAAAAAAAAAGTTTTGAAGATCCCTATGGTCATCCTAGCTCAGCAAAACATTATTTAATTACTGTAAGTTATTGTAGTCCTGATGTTATATAAGACGACAGTCATCATGTTTTAAAAATTGCACCAGAAACAAAGACTGCTGTTTTTCAAAGAATAATACTAGATTGGCTCTAAATCAAATTGTTTAATTGTCTACATTTCCATTGCGTTTTATGGGAATACAAACACTTAAGTGTTCTAAATATAAGGTCAAGGTTTTTAAACGACTCTAAACAACTTAAAAATATCAGTTACGGACTCTGTACATTTCTGGTTTATTCAGAACTATGATGGTATTGTAGGATTAGCTAAATGGATTTTCTCATTAGTGAAATAGACAGGCAAGCTTTCCAATGGTGGAAAATGTAGTGAATAGCCCCTGATATGAATTTGCATATTTTAAAAAGAATCCATTTAATCCTGAAATTGGAGCTCTGGAAAACTGCCCCTACTGTGAAAAATAATTAATTCTATAGGGAAAGGTGCTTATTTGCTGCATCAAATGATGAAGCTAGATGTCTCTGTACATCATGAAATCTAAATGTGCAGCTCTTGAGGTATGCACAGTATAGTTCACACAAAGCCTTGAATTATTCCGTAATTTCATCATGT